TATATATTCAGGTATAATGTATACGCTGTCTGGAGGGAGATTTCCTTCTTCTACATGCCGAACATCCATAATTCGTAATTAGCAATAACATCTTTGAATGCTAACCTAAATTTAATCACTGGTCATCTCCCATATACGGTACTATGTTATATACATATGCTATATTGTTCATATTTATAATGCTTTGTATTTTGTATTTAAATTTATGCGCCCAACCAAAATTTAAATTTTGGACGATAAATAATTTAAATCTCCAATTTCGAAATAGTTAAACAATATTTTTACATGAGAAAGTAGCATATAGTATTTTAAATGGTTGTCTGGAGAGAGATTCCCTTCTTCTAAGGGCCTCTAGGGTTTGTCAATTAGCAATAGTATGGTTCGCTATGTCAGAAATTGGGCTCCAGCTAGATTTTTGTGCCAAAATGGATTTTTTTGTTTTATCCATTATTTTTGTTTTATCCACATCATCAGCCACCATTTTTAATTTCAAGATGGCCGACACCACATAAAACATGGTTAGGCTATGTTTGGTGTCAATGGAAAGGGAATTATACACTGATCATTTTATTCCTTTACACATATACCTATTGTAATAATACATATTTACAGAGATATAGACCAAAAAAATAAAGTCACATGACCAAAAGTCAAAATCAATTTTTTTGGTATCGTTCTAAAGCTCTTTCGATGCTGAATAATGTTTGACAACACACATATATCAGAAATGGTGTAGTTTTTCATATTATTGTGCCGTAAAGTACAAATATGGCATAGCATATTAAAATAAACAGGACACTGTTGCGTAACGCTTGTGAGCTCTCGGGGTTGGGGAGTGGCCTCCTAACACTACCTAGCACTTTACCACCAAGCCTTAACAGTAGCGTAACGCATGTGGTTTCTGGGTCAAGTCCTAGTCCAAACGGGCCCCGGAGTGGCCACATGGGCTCTTCTTACCACTGTGTACTACCCTACAACGCCTAATTTTTTTTAATTCAACACACCAAAAATGACAAAAGCTAGCCAATAAAATTCATTTTGGCACAAAAATCTAGCTGGATTACATAGCATACTGTACTACAATGCGAATGTAATTACCCAACTTTAATCACGGTTCATCTCCCATATGCATATTTTATGTTATTATGTTATGTTTTATTTTATGTTTTCTCTGTTTCATTTTTCATATTCATAATGCTTTGTTTCGATATAAATCTTTGCGTCCAAACAAACTATTAATATTGGACGATAAATAATTTGAATCTTGAATTTCGAATAGGCCTAGTTAAACAACATTTTTACATGAGAAACAAAACACTCGGCTAATAATAATAGTAATTTTCTAAATATGTTGTTATTTGATATCTTTCAGGTAAATATGAACATCTGTTTGCCAACTCATCTCTTTCTGATACAAATGCCGGCATCATCATGTTATTTGCTTCCCTGTTTCTCCTGTGTTTCTGCTTGTTTGCGATCATCAAAATTCTTCACACAATTCTGAGGGGAAAGGTAGCTCGTTTGATCAAAAAGTTTATCAATGCCGATTTTCCCGGGAAGCTGTCGTTCCTGACTGGATACTTCGCAATTGTACTCGGCGCCTTGTTGACATTCCTTGTCCAAAGTAGTTCCATATTTACTTCTGCCATAACACCTCTTGTTGGTGTAGGAGTTATCACTCTTGAGAGAATGTACCCGTTGACCCTGGGAGCAAATATCGGTACCACTGCAACCGCTATGATAGCGTCACTGGCAGCTACAGGTAACAAGCTCAAACCTTCGATCCAGGTTGCCTTATGTCATCTCTTCTTTAACATTACTGGGATCCTAATTTTTTATCCTATTCCTTTTATGCGTAAAATACCCGTGTCCTTGGCCAAAAAACTAGGTAATACAACAGCCAAATATCGTTGGTTCGCCCTTTTGTATCTATTAGTCATGTTCTTTCTGTTACCAGCCTTCGTGTTTGGCCTTTCCTTGTGGAGTATTTGGGCACTCGTCGGATTTGGTATTCCAATCCTCCTCCTGTCTCTCTTTATTACAATAGTAAATATTTTACAAAACAAACGACCACATTGGCTACCAGTTAAGCTCCAAGATTGGGAATTTCTTCCTACCTGGCTCCATTCCTTGAAACCGCTAGACTCTATTATAACTAAGGTCATGGAACTTTTATGTAAACGTTGCACATGTCGCCAAATTGAAGAGAAGCAGGAAGATGTAGTGATGCTTAAGATATCTACTTTATCAAACGAAAATCAGAATAACGATAAATAAACTTGTGCCAATAAAATATGCATAATGCAAATAAACAAAATACATAGGCCTAGATTATGGAATAAGACTAATATACTAATAATATATAATATAAAATATTGAGAAATTTATTAGTTTTCCAGTTTCACAATACAACATTTTATTCAGTTAACATTTCCATGCATTTACTATTTATTATCATTTGTTTATTAACGTACAAGTTTAAATAAAAAACAGAACGTTAAAGAAGAGGAATTTACGAGTGTGAAAGAAAGGTAAATTGAGATTCTGAGGGCGGGGAAGACGATAAATTTTGTCGGGGAACAAACAAATTAAAAAAAATATTTACATGTAATATTCGTTTAGCCACCATATTGTTTGTGTTCACTTTTCATTACAACAACAACAATAACAATAACAATAATAATAATAATAATAATAATAATAATAATAATAATAATAATAATAATAACAATAATTCAATGAGACTAATTAAAAATAATTTGCGTTCTGTTATGGCAAATGCTCATTTAGATAGCCTGATGATGGTTGGAATATACATCGTGAAGTAACCTCGACCATGACAGCGTGGTTGACAGATTTCATGCAAAATTTCAAAAATATAGTATTTCACTTTCAAGAATGAGGATTTTAAAATAAATTGGATGGTTACATTGCATACTCATTGTTTCTTGTTTTATTCAAAATGTTTTGGTTTTGGAAGCTGATTTCAACATTGGAAAGCATAGCCTATAATAAGTCATATTATAGACTGGATGCCTATCAAATAAATAATAAAAATTCGCCATAATTCGTAAAATATCCGTGGCCCCCCTGGACCCCCACCGGGGGGCCCTAGGTCCAGATCTGTAGGGAAAGTCAAAAATCAAACTCCGCGTCGTGTCCAGACCCCGCAAACCATCGGATCCGCATCGTTCGTCATACCCACCACCTGCGGCGTACGGGTTCTACTTCGCCTGTCAATCCACGCCAGCGTAACGTAACCAGGTCGTTGGTGTCGTTGTAGAACAGGGTTGAGCCCTCGGTCACACGGTAGTTCTTGCGACCAAGTTACCTTCGATACGAGCTTCCGCATAAGGTGAATAGACCTAATCATTCTTCGTTTTTCGGATTATTGATTTGCTCGGTTTCCAAAATGACTTTGACGAATCCGATCTTTTTTTTTTTTTTCGGGATTCGTCGACAGCACATTACCGCATATAATAATCTGAATGGAACCTTTGTCGCAATGACCCAGACACGACGAGCTCCAGAACCAATGATGATCTTGATGATGTTGATCTTGTACTAATTATACGTTTGAGTATCGTAAACGAACGTATCTTTCGGCGTCGCATCGCTGAACCTTCGTCTGCAGCAAATCCACCTCGTCCGTTGGCGATCCTCGTCTCGTCCACCGACGAAAAACAAGTAGGCTGCCGTGAGCAGCCAGCATCTGCATCCCGGTCCGTCTGAACGCATCAGAAATGTCAACCTCATTTCTCTCATCTCTCATTGCACGTAGTGAGATACAAAAAAGCTACATGAAAAAGTATATGTAAAAAAGAGATAATACATTGAGCATTATAGAGTATAATTTTTTTTTAAATTATTACAAGACTATTATTGAATCATTATTTATTTAAATAAACTAAAACATACAAAAATATTAAATAGATGTAAAAACATAGGATATAATACAAAAAGTTATTAAATAATTAATCATTTGTTTATTTATCTTAACTACAATAGAAAAAAATGACATGAAATTCTTTCTTTCTTTGCTTAAATATTGTAATTTGTTAATAATAGTTTGGACTAAGCCTAACTCATTTAGTGCGTTTCCGTTATAGGGTAATATTATTGAAAAATAATTACATGATGAATTTTGTCTTGGTTGGCTTAATGATATCACCCAATAACCAGTCAAAATGCGGACATATTGTCTTTTTAAAAACAAATTTACCATGGAAAAGTATTGTAAATTCTTTGATATCGATGTGCGTTGCAATTTTACTAAACTAAGAACAAGTGCTCACTCACTCATGATTGAAAAGGGGCGCCACACCTCTCCTGTTACTCCTCTTTCTAACAGAATTTGGTACAAATGAGATTAAAGACGAATTTCATTTTCTTATCATTTATTTTACTCTGATTTTTGTAATGAATTATTTAATTAGCAAAGGAGCATCACAATTGATAATTTAAATTATTTTGATAAATTTGTCTTTTTAGTTGGAGCCCATAATATAAAGTCAACATTTTTCGTATCCAGTTTGTATTACCGTTATGCAGTACTACATTATATATATATATATA